GGGGACCAATCACTTGCAGCGCTCTTCCCGAAATCAATGATAAGAAACCCAACCAGTGAATCACAACAAAACGAATGGGTGCGATTTAGACAGTTCAAAAAAATAAACTGTCGCAGCTGAGTTTGGGGAAAGTGAGGGGGGGGGGCTATTGGTTCATGTTGTTTCGCATTAGTTTCTGCTGCAGTTCCGCCAAAATTTTGCACAAAGTCTGCGAAGGGGTCAAGTCGCGCTGGGAACCAAATGGAGCTCAGTATCTGGATCCACTAAATGTAAGCTAGCTTGGTATCGATTAACACAGACAGATTAGCACTTCCAGTTCTGATACCGTCGCTGGAACTTCATTCCTATGTGGCTAAGTGAGCTTTCGCATGAGAAGCCGAAATTTTTCTTATCAAGCTTCAGCTTATGAGGGTTTCATTGAAGAGTTCAAGAGTCCTCGGGTCCTGTCCTGCGTTATGTTTTTTGAACGTAACTTGACAATTTACTACTTTTAAGAGTTAGGCAGTAACGTTTGACGATTTCATTTGTACCAGTGAGGTTGCTTGGTAGAACTCCTTATAAAAGGCCTGATGTTTCAACTAGAATGTCTTCATTAGAGGCCTAAACGTAGCTCATGGTTTGAAATTTGGTGCAGTTCTTTCTTGATGGGGCGATTTGCTGGCTCTTGGATACTGTCGATGTGGGTAGCCCTGTAAATTGCTGTGAAGCCATGCAATAGCAGGAGCTTCGTATGCTTTTGACAGGAGTCTACATGTCTGGCCAAGATATGACGTGTGTTTTGACAAGCACTAGCAAAAGGAAAACCTACCCCTCCGAAGCCGAATCGCACCTAAAATTGTTCTCTCTACACTGCCGAACACCTTTCCTCCCCGACGTTTCTGACAGATTATGAAGAAGTCTACCGAAAAATTCCAATAAAGAAAAAATCTATCCACTCCATCAGAGCGATAGCGCTCACTCTGTTGTTTCTTTAGCCCACACAAAAAATAGAGCGCTCCCTGTGCGCGAAGTTTGAAATGGGTGCAGGTTGTACGTTTTCGTCCCCGCCCCTTTAGCTTCTCAGACAAAACCCATTCAATAATAAATCATAAAGCTTGATAGGAAATCCATTGAATCATTTGAATTCCATGAGAGAACAATATGTATTCGAATGTCATTGGACTTTATTGCAATTGCGATACATTCTCATTTTTCATATGAGTGTTCATCTATCGGAAGCCATAAACCATTTCGTTTCTCTCTCTGGTTCGATTGCAGAGAGATGTGAACGACGAGCCGGTTTCTCTCTAGCGTGCTTGTTTCGATCGACATCGGATAAGACAAAATCGCGCAACGCTCCAGTTTCAGAAGCTTTTTCTAGAGATGGATCAGAGAAATGTGCATTTCGAAAAAGAACTAAAAAATTCAAAGTCGGCGCAGTTCGGTTTGGTGGGACACTGCACTTTCGCTGCTTCTCATCGACGTGTAGAGCTATCATACGGAGACCTGTGAAAACTTGGTGAGCCGCGGAGAAAATTTGAGCTAAAATTTCTGGAGGCCAGCCATCTACTCTTGTGAAGCAATTTCACATTGATGAGAAGTAGCAAAACTGCAAATTGCCCCTCCCAAGTCTGGGTTCCTTCGGATAGAACTGAATGGAGATTTTGTTTGTCTGACCAAATAATTTCTAAAGCATAGAATGGAAATGCCTTGTTCCATTTGGTGTAGATGGGGCTAGAGGTTCTCAATCTTTAAAGATTTTTTTATAATGGGAAAACTGAGATATTGATCTGTTGAGCCAATGTGACCGCTTTGTTTGTACTGCTTTCAGCTGCTTACGTCGACAAGGTGTTTTTTTATTTGTTCGCCCACCAAGTGCGATTACATTCCACCGAGATCAAGTGGCTGCCGCTATAATCCTTCTGTTCTTGCTCCTTGTTCAGTGATTTGAAAAGAAACGAAATGCCTTGAAGCTTCATTCAGGTGGAGTAGGTATAAGAAATGTATCCACTCAAACAATCCTTGGACTGCTCAGCTTGCACTGGGCATGTTGGACGTTTACTAGTTCCTTTTAAATAATAGTTCATGCCAACTAACCAGGGCACATCATTGGTTGGGGATTGATTGGTTCGAGTTCCGTACAACCCGCCCGGCTTTCTGAGGGTTGTGCACGCCCGTTCCCTGGTTCTCCTCAATCGATTTTTTCCGACGCGGGGAGGTTGAGGGGGGCGAGGTATGTACTACACAAGAAACAGGAAAAATCAGGAGAGGTGAGAAAATCGGCATCCTTCTAGTTCAGAATGGAAATACGACCCCCCCCTCAAAAACAAGAAGCAAAACGACCCTCCCCTTTAACAACGCCCCGCGAAGCAAGAAACAATCAAACTATCAAGTATAATTTTTCTCAAAACAGACTCAATTACGTCCGCGCGCCACCCTAAGTTCCCAGCGAGCCAAATATGACCCTCCTGCTGGAATCCAACAACGATGTGGCCTGCAACTAAGAAAGTTTCCGCTTTTGTGAGAACGTGTAAATCTGTTGTGAGCCGCGAATGTACAGGAGTTACTGTCAGTTACAAGATCAAACAGGTTTTCACGAGGTGGCAAGTGTAACTCACTTGAGGTTCCCGCCCTCTATGGACCAGAGCGCGCACCGAATTTAACTTTATGTCATTGATTTCGTAAACAGATGGTTTGCTTAGTAATGTGTGCATTCCCAGGAGACAACGCCAGCCGATGGTGTGGCTGTAGCGGATCTTTTGGATTTGGAAACGGAAGTGCAACAAATCGAACAGGGTTTGCATCAACTGGAACAAATTCCGACAAATACGGATGCCTTTGGAGCCACTCCGTTCGCCGATCCGTTCCAGGATAACAGTGTGATTAGCAATGTAAGTTCTACCGCTACAGACTGGTCAAGGACCTATCTGTAATTTGCCGCTGTATCCGCGTTGGCTGCGGCAATTTGCAATTACCTAGTTCGACTGGAGCAAGCCAAAATCAGTCAGACGTTTTCGGCTATTTTACTTAGACTTGTCTGCTATGCTATGCTAGGACCTTCGAAATCATCGTCGTTTGCTGGTGCGTGATGTGTGCCCGACATCCACCAGCGGCGGGGCGAATTACGGATGGTCTTGTCAGCACATTCTTCTGTCCCGAGGAATAGACGACGTTTCGCGGCATAACGATTTCACCTGGTATTTCCTAGCCTTAAGGTTCAAAACTTCAGGTATCGTCGGTCAATGGATCTTATGGAAATGCTTCTATAAACGGAGCGGCTCATAATCAACATCAGTGTCAAGCCTTCATCCTCCTCACACAAAATGCGCTGGCCACAACCACCAGCAGTACCACCCCAGGTTGCACATCCTCCTTTCCAGGTATTACAGTCAGTTGACTGATTTCAAGGCCGCTTTTACAAATTTCATTTTGATTTTTCAGTTACCAGTGCCACAAGCTGCAGCGCCGTTCACGGCAGATGCTTGGGGTGCTGCGCATATGCAACATACGCACAGTACTAGAACTCAATGTACGTTGTTCCTCGAGTTTTTCTGTAATTTTAAATTGTACATGAATGTAACCAACGCCCAAAAATATCTTTGTATAAATTCTAGGATGGGGTGGTATACGGTGGCGTCGGTGCTGCTCTACCACCTTACAGTGATCCGAGGGTCAGTCCCCGAGCAATCGTGCAAATTAGTATTTTGCACGCCGGTATTCCGAGCCCTTAAGCCACCTTGGGGTGGATTGTAGGTGCACCTAGTACGCTGGGGATCCACGGCGGGGAGGGGTGTTCAGGATTTGGTGCCCGGAAGGAGTTTAGAGTCCGTATTTGCCTCGTGAGAAAACTGTTGCCTTAGTTTGTTGACTTTTCTCGGTTTTCCATAAATTCCGTTTGCCTCCACTCCCTCCGCGCTAGTTGCGGTTTCCAAGCGCCGCGTTGACTACCCATACCATTGCTAATTTTGACTACCCCTCCTATGAAGGCAGTTTTCTTTTGGGCAACGGAAGAATCCGAATTTTTTTTTTCTTGCGGAAAACTTGGGAAATGGAAGATGTAGGTGGGATAGGGAAATGGGGGCAGTGGTATCACACAGCTTCATAAACTATTGTGTGGGTGAATGGATCGGGAACGCCATTAATGAGTAGAGTGGGCGCGGAATGCGTGGCGTATCACTCAAATGAATTGACCGAATTTTCCATTACTCTCCTTTATTTTCTTTAATTTTCAGGAAACGAATCCATTTGCTGCTGCCGTTACTCCTCAACCGTTTGTACCGCCTCGTGATCCTTTCGATACTCGTAACGTCTTACATGTACAGCCAATAATACAGAATACTGCTCCACGGACTGTTGACTGGGGAACGAAGGAGAACGCTGCTCCGCAAATGCACCATGCCAATTCCTTCACCACTAACAACTGTTTTGGAGATAACAAGTAAGAAGCCAGTTTCAAAGGACTATTTTAGATTTTTCTTGTGCGGAATAGGAAGAAAATTCGGCTTAGTTCGGCTTGGTTGGGGCATCAAATGATACTCATGGAAGACGGTACTGGGCATCTTGTGAGGACTTGTTAAATCTTGTAAACGAGGCTACTACTTGTATCATTTCGCAAATGGCCAAGGGTTTACTGGTGGCACCAAAACGGGACCCGTTCGCATGAACTAGCCATAGATTAGCTGAAGTGCAAAATGCTCCTCCCAAACAGAACAGTGCCGAAATTTCTTCTGGAAATCTCTTATAAAGAAAGACTATCTTTTCTTTTTTCAGCACGCACACTCAAAACCAGTCGAAATGGGAAGAACGCAAGGTGACGTCATTGGAAGAGGCCTTCACAAAACTTGTGGATATGAATGCTCTGGTTGCTCGACCGACTAACGACACGAAAAAGAATCCGTTTGATCATATTCTGAATCCTCCTAAGGTTGGTTCTCTATGTGTACCCTTTCAAAACATGTGAAGTGCTGTGAACAATCAGACGCGCGCTGTCGCGGCGCGACCCAAGCTATGAATAACTGACGACGTTGTACTTGTTGAACTAATGTACTCGCTTGGCCAACTTCTGTACATTTCTGTCCCTGGAGCAGGGGACGCCGCACGTTGGGGATCCCCAGCGGGGGATCATATCTGGTTAGTGTCCTCCCCCCGCGATAGTTTTGAGGGAAAAATTGTGGAATTTTCAGCAACCGGGAGAAAGTTGGTATAATTTAGGAAGATGATTGGTAAAATGGGGCAGGGAAGGGGGTGGGGGTTTAGAGGAGAAAAATTTGAGCGGGGGGGAACGTTTTCGAATATTTTTTTCTCTCATTGGCAGGGAAAGCACATTACACGCTTATACTCGGGCAGAATATCCAAAACGCTGAGCTTTTTTCGTTGGTGTGTTCCTCCACTTGAGGCTGAAAGGAAGGGCTTATTGATGGGGAGGGGGTGTTTGGTTGAAGAAAAAAAAGTCCACCCATTAGCAATTGGGAATGTGCGGTTGTCGAAGTAACTCCGCCCATTATCACTGGAGAATGTGCAATGTCGAAGAAATTCCGCCCTTGAGCTGCATTTGAAGGCGCACTGCATTCCGTATTGATAATACTATGAGCGGTACAGAGTATCATTTCATCGGCTCTTCATTCATCCCCCTCCCGCCTCAAAGGAAGGGATGCACCTCGGTGAGAGAGGCCCAATGGTTCTGTGTCTCTGCCCATCTCGTTATCGCGGAATGTGTCTCCAAAGGTTGAACGGAGGGTATTTAAACAACGTGTTAGGCAGCAATCTTGTTTGCCCCCTCTTCT